CGTGCGTCCTGAACATCAGCATTCACATACTATCGCTTTTAAATCTATCCTGTGATATGAACACTGATGTTCAATTTATTTTGAAATAAATAATTATTCTTGTTAACGCTCCGTCGTAGGCATAGACCTTCTGTGCCACCTACCAGTGGTATTCCCGAACTGTCACCTGTACTCCTACCAAGTTTGAACCTGCTCGGTTCACGGGAACAGGAGTTAAAAATTCTTGGTCAAACACACACACCTTTACATATACGCAGGCATACTTACACGAATTATTTCTATTGAGATAGTATTCAATCATCACCTGCGATTCACGATGATCAAAACATACTACAGTAGATATTCTGAATTTAGATCACCACCCAGGAAATCATCGCCCTCGTCTGCAAACTAAATGTCTACTTCACTTTAGACGTTTTTTCTGGAATGCCAACCGAGATCGGCCACTGCGGTCTCAAAACAGTTGAAGGTGACAGCACTTCATATGAATGCTGTTGAGCTCGTGCAGCGTTATAGCAATTGGTCCACGGTGAAGTTTCTCTTCAAGTTTCTTGTTTTCGGGCCTGAGATTAGGTACCGGGAGCCGACCAGACCAGACAGACCACACAGAAAGGGCTCTGATTCTACAAGTTTCACTTATTCTAATGTGTTTGAGCAACGAAATGGGCAGATTAGAATCTGTAAAGAAGTTTGTGCCGAATTGAGTAGACAGTTCGGTCTTTATATGGTTAAGTAGGCAAGAAAGAGACAGCCACACATATCACACGTGTACATCTTGGGAGTGGAATTGCACCTTAACGTCATAGAAGCTTTCGGAATGCGAAATTTCGGGCAGAGACCTTCCACATTCCCTAATATTACAGAATCTAAGCATTAAGTATGCATTTCTTGTCGTTGACATTACATTGAATGCATAGCATGTTTACAGTATTATTTAGTATTATCGAAAAACTTTATTTGTATAACTCCACACTACAATATCTTAATGGTTTACGTTTCGGTGAAACCACCTTCGTCGGAGCCTAAAAGGATGGAATCAATTTATGAGATTACCCGTTCAAACATCTCCACCCCCCACAATATCTTCGAAACCAACTTGATCATCCTACAATTCTAGGTGAATAAAAAGTACCGTACCTTCCTGTTGAGCAGAATCGGCCCTCGTGAGCGATGTGGACTGGGTGTCTCGAGTTCAAAATTCACAGTGGAAGGCTAGCCTTATATAGGGGGTGAGCTCGCGCGTGATTGACACGCATTCCC